GGGAATAACACTGAGCATATGAACATGTAGACAACTGAAGAAGGCAAAAGAGAAGTAACATATGTAACGCAAAACTGAAGTATGCTTTAAATGAACCTTATGTTGAAGTAACTGCTTGCTTGTCTAATGTTGCAGGGCAGAACAAAAATTGGACAATGACGATTATGCAGCTTTCATTAGCAAGAGAAAAAAGATTGAGCACAGATTTGTAATATCTGGCCATGCATATCTCCTATTCAAAAGTGTCTTTATAGTATCTGAGAAACACCACAGGTGACATGAAGACACACTTCTTTGCTGAAAGAATCGATTGATGTAGTTAAAATATGCAAAGCTAGAGAGAATTTGAAGTCTGTGTAATAAACTAAACAGATTTTCTGAGTCAGTGAGGTAACTAAACACATAACATAAAGAACAAAGACAACTGAATATATAATACCAATTCCTCAAGAGCTCTATGTTTAAATTTCAATCTTTGATAAACATCGCATCAATAATAAAGACTGCAGACACTGTCGCAGGGAAATTAGATCAAACAAAACTGTCCGGGGCTGATATTCTACTGAAGAAGCATTTGCAACCTGTAAAAAATAATCCAAGAAACTTTCTGACATCTGGGAATTTTTTCCTTAGATCAAACAAAACTGTCCGGGGCTGATAATCTATGGAAGAAGCGTTTGCAACCTGTAAAAAATATTCCAAGAAACTTTCTGACATCCGGGAATTTTTTCCTTGCATTTCATCAATCTGCCATGAGATTTAAAATAAAGACAAAAATGGCTTAGAAATCCTTGACTATCTGCATATTAATATTACTTAATCAAAACCATTATTGTGCACTGAATATTATAAATACTGAAGTCAATGAAGGCCTCACAGTTTGGTAAATCGCAAGCCATATGATTTACAACAGTCTATAAGGTACTATGGTTTTCACTTCTGTAAAGAGACTAGTACCGAACACATGTGATACTCTACTTCACACTCAGCTGTGTAAAACAAGTTACAAAAATCCTTCATTCATTTCTCTGGTTTATGAATCTGTTTTTAAAAATAAAATCAGTCTGCTGTAAAATCCATTTCATGAGACTTTACATTACATTACAATACTCTTAAAACAGTCTTTAAATATTTATGAAGGAAGTCTATTTCGAGCAATGGCAAAATAAATTACAAGATATAGATCTAACCACTTCTACGTATAACCATTACAGGTTATTTCTTCAGTTCTTTTATGATGCATTCCCTAGCTACTTCCTGATTCATCTACACACATATTCAATCCTTATAGCTTGATGTGTCCAATACCAAACTTCTTAAAAGTGACTGAAATATGATTCGGTAATTAATTACATGCATGTAACCAAATTAAGAATCACACTCACTAACTTCTAAGGGTAACTTAAAAAGCACTTGATATATGGTCATGTTGAAGAGAAAATTATAGATATATATTTCTCATGGAAATGTACATTTAGCCACTGCCCTTCTAATGAAAAATATTCTGCTTGAAAGCCAACAAATCCCATGACAATAACCACATGCAAACAGATAGAAATATTGAAACATTATAGAGGATTTTATCGACCTTTCCGTAGCATATATGATACACTGAAAACTTTTCACAGTAAACCAGCATACTTATACCAATATAAAACATGGAAGTGATAAATAGATTGTCACAAGCAAATTGATCAACAATATGCTCTTGAATTTTCCTTTCATATTTTTTTATGATACTGTGACAGCTGTCTCTTGGCAAGTAATTTATCAATTTTTAGTAATCTTCCAATCATCTTAGAAATTTAGGTGGTAAAGTGTCATTAATTAATCTGGAGCATAAATATTAATACAAATATCTTAGAATTCATTTTATTACTTTTAATACCCAATATCAGTCTTATCATTTGGATCCTTCTGAGCAGGGATTAAAATCTATTTAAAAATTTAACAACAAGGTATCTTCAGTACATAAAAAGTTGCAGTTTATATACATATAAATATCTATCTTACAGCAGAACAAATGACAAATGCAGTCTTTACCCACAAAATATGGTGCTTAAAAATCTATGACTTTAGAATGGATATTTCTCACAAAAAGTATTTTGTGACTTCATAAATAACTTTTCTAAATTATCATTGTTGAAAAGAAAAGCCTTTTCATATTTACTACTTTTAAATCACACAAAATGCTGTTTCATTCTTGATCATTGCTGTCTTTGTTCTCTCCATATTCTTTGGTCATTCAAATCTGCTTTAATTTATTCAGCACATTTTGTGCATAAAATCTTACATGATGTCGAAGTCGACTGTGAGTGGAAAACTTTAGCAATCATAACACATAAATGAAAGTGGAAAGGGAGAAAGATGCAGACACAAATCTCTACCTGTGGGGTTAAGAACACTGTTTTTTTTTCGCCTGTGTTCATACACACTTTTTTAACTGGCATACAACACGTAGAGTTAAATGTATTTTTAAACCCCTGCTCATGGTAGCAATGATTTGCTTCACGCATTATACATTATGATCATCACATAAAACTTCTCCACCATCAAACAGAAAATAATTTTCAAGCAGTCAGCTTCACATTAAACTTAAAGGAATACCATTTCTTTGAAACTGACTCCATAAGCAGTCATTCTGAGGCACCTCCACATTTTAGAAGAGCTGCAGCATTTCACTTAACATAAATATTACAGAATTGTTGCGTAGGCCATTATAAGTCAGTACAGTGGCCACTTCGCTCACCAGACTTTAATCCTTTGGATTTCTACTTGTGTGGCACACTCAGAACTGTACAAAGGTGAACACTCATAAGGAGCTGTTGGATTGTGTAATGTGCAGTAAAAGAAATGAGAAACAAAACAGAAGTACCACACTGCATACAACAGTCATGGGTACACCATTCAGAAATTTGCAATGGTGACCAACAACAAATATAGTTGTGACTACTGTAATAAGCTTTTGTTACAATTATGCTTATGCTCAGTGTTTCAGACTGATTTTGAGCTCTAAAAGCATTTCATATCTAAATATCTAAGCCCTTTGCACCTCAAATGCATTACAGATTTTCTGTTCAGTTTCTAGCATAGAATGCCACAGTTATACTTTCAACATGCAGTTAGGAGACATTGTGCATAGGAGTTCTTTGATAAAGAAAAATTAATGTATTCTCTCATGATGGGAGTAAAGAACTTAATAAAACCTTCTAAAGAAAGATAATTATTTATAATAGTTTACCATTACTAAAGATTCTAATGTTTGTCCGCAGTCCTTAAATACCCCTAATGTTTCAAAAATGTTTTGGGGTTATGCAAATCAATTTCTGACAAATTTAAACTGTAACATAATTGTAAAGTTTCTGAGATTTGCATGTAAAGATTATTTCTGTCCATCTTTCCTTTGAAATTTCCCACGAGTAAAAATATTGCAGGTTCCAGGCTAGAAGAACATAACCCATATCTTACATAAAATGGCAAAAGAATTTTATTATTTTATCATGACTGTTTTTGGTCTGTTTGTCCAGTATCATTTTCACATTTATTTTACTGGTTTTCAAAAACTGAGGAGATAACTGGCACTTGGAAATGTATGACTAAATTTCTTTGACTACTGCTCGACATGCACGTCACAAAGGAAAATCTACTCCTGGTAAAAATTTCACAGCTTAAAGCAAATAACTGCATTCTGAAAAATGACAAATTACATGCCATTATCAAATCATATTTATTAATTTTAGAAGACACTGTCATGCAGCCTGAACAGTCACCTACAAGAATTCACAGTTCTCAAGCAAGAAAAAATCCAACTTGAAGAACTGTTGCCAGTAGTACAGTGCATTATAGTATTACACTCAAACAGACTTCCTGCTCTTCAAAGTAAACTTCAAGCACTTCCTACCTGGCCAATCATTAGTAATCATTTCAACATCCATCACTCAATAACTGTCTTCAATATGACGTAAAATGTAAAAATAAACAAACATAGTCTTCACAAAATACAATCTGGTTTCACTTGTATTTATTTATTCACATCACAAACACCGTGCTTGATATCACTGAACACAATAGTTCTGGGGGCAGTCAAGTACGAACATTTTCAGTACATGCATCATTAGCATCTATTCTTTAGTAGCAGTCTGAAATTTTTCTGTGCTCCAATTTTAAAAACTTTATAGAGCAATAGATACAATTATCTTCTTATTCCTAAGATGCTGCCACTTTGAATACATCATTTGACAACCAAGTCTCTCCATCTCTCTCCGTCTTCCCACTGCAGCTCCTCCTCATCAATTTCTTCCCATGCTTTTCCTTCATTCTTTCTGTGTAACATCTTCCCTAACGTCTTGTTCCCATCTTTATTTTAGTCTTAATCTTGGGCCTTCTACTTTCATGTTGAAAACCTTGTTTAAGATTCTCTCTCTGTTCATTTGTTCTGTCCATATTTTATTCTATTATTTGTTCATTTGCCTTTTAAGGTGTTATTTTTAAATTGTTTTCTTATTATCTCCCTTTTATTTTTTGTTCTTATACATCCTTAATAACCCCACCTCTGATGGCATGAGTCTGCTAATACCTGCCTTGCTCTGTGTTCAAATTTCTGTTCCATACATTAACATGGACATTTAGTAACTTTTAAATTAGCCAATTTTCCATTCTCAGATTTTACCCTTTCCAGAGTACACCTGTCAGTAACTGGTAACATTTTCTTGCACTATTAATTCTCCTTTTAATCTCTTTTAAAATTCATTTGTCACTCCGTAACATTATAAAATTAGTTTTAATACATTTCAGTATTTTGCTTTTTGAAAAGTAACTGGATGAGTTTACATGAATGAAATAATACACAGTTCCCTTTAATGCATTCCTCTGTCATTTCCTTAATTTTTATTTGCTACTGGACAAATACTTGAGTTTCAGAATATATTTCAGAAAAGTTACATACTTAAGTTCCTCGACAACATTCATTGATGGATTTTTGAATGATTTTGTATTTTCAGTTATTTATTTCTTGCCTTCTTCAACCTGTACAAGAAATTCCCACTTCTGCTGGACTCCAGTGGACTTCCGTGGTGACACATTTTAGAGCAAAACAATAAATAATATCAGATACAATTTGTTTCTATTATAATTCTAATGCTGTTTAGGAACACAAACTGTTTTTTACTGTTTTGAACCTTCCATTATAGAACTTTCTGTATTTTGTTGCTGTAATATTTTACCAATAATAATTAAGTGGATGAATGTTGATGTGATTATGTGGATATAAATATATTAAGAGTGAAAACTAATCTCTTAATGACATAAAATGTATTAATTTAATAACTGATTTTATTGAGATTTTTTTAATTTAATAAGACTAGTCCATCCATTACAATATCCAGCAAAGGTATTGTAAAAATGAGCAAAACCTACATCTACAGGAAATAAAATATGAACAGATGTTGTTTACAGAGATGTCTGTATTCTTTTGTTCATCCTTGTGAAATATCACATAAAAAATCAATATTATATTTAAAGTCAATAAAAGTTTCCATGATTTATAAACAGGCAAGGTTAAGTGTTACTGCAGCTGATATGGCCATTATAACTTAGAACTGTGATAATATTAGCTAACCTCATAAAACAAGTTTATAGTTGCTTAGCTGGTAAAGAAATACAGACCTCAAAGACAAATTACCATGCTCACAAGAGTCTGCCATTGAACACCCTTACATCCTACTTCATTAAGATCCATTTTAATAGTATTAATATAACAAAACAGCTCTTTGAAAACTGCGACTACCTGTGGACTTCCATGCTGGTAACTGTACCACCACATTGAATCATAAACATAATTTATTTAAGGCTACTTACTACTTGCTTCACGTTGTAAGCAGTTTGCAATGGGAACAATTTCTAAATAGCTATGGCATGATGTGCAGTAACAAATATTTGTTACAAAATTTTAAACCTTATACTTTCACAATTCACCAGTTTGCCAAGAAGCAGCTTCTACAACCCTTTTAGGTTGCACTCACTATTGGCTTTGTACAACAGTGGTTCTCATTCTATAAGTCACAACACAAAAGAGCTTAGTTAAGCTACATTATCATTAACAATCTCTGTCGTAACAGAAGGCAAAATTGCGTGTTATTCACAAAGAAAGTGGAATGAAAAATCTGTTTAAAATGCTTCATATGAAATAGGGACAAATACTGACGATAGTGGCAATATTAAACACTGTTATTCCATTTTGAACCATATATGCCCAAATACAGTATACGCTTACATTACAAGAGTTTGAAAATGAAGCACTCAGAAATATAAACGGACCCAAGATAAAATACGAAATTTAGGATATTACGCTATACGCTTACATTACAAGAGTTTGAAAACGAAGCACTCAGAAATATAAATGGACCCAAGGTAAAATACGAAATTTAGGATATTACGCGACAAGGAACTTCATGCTTTATACAGGCCGCCCAGTATTGTTAGGATAGCAGAATTTAGGATTGGCTAGTCATGCGGCTATGGTGTGATTGACAAGGAATGCTCCACATAATCTCCATAGAAAAATGTCTTGCAAAATGTCCATTTGGAAGACTGAGAAGAAGATGGGGAGATAACATTAAGAAGGATTTTAGGAGTATGGGTTGTGGGGAAGGGAGTGGATTGAACTACTTCTGGTTATTATCCTGTAGTAGTATTAGTAACATTAAGTATTTTACATGTTTTTATAGTCTTCATCCAACTGGTGCATGTATACATTTTCACTAAAATAATTTAATTAAATGCACTATCAGATTATTTTATCTAAGATTTTGTAATTTATATTAGCAAAAAAAACAACTATTGTGAATTTAATATAATATTTCAACTTGCAGACAGATTTGTGATATGGATGATTGTGAAGTCGGAACACGGAAGAAAGTAAACGAGAACCACTGATGCAAAGCAGAAGCAATCACAGACTTGCACTAACTTCTGGTTAAAGTTTCAGACATTCTTCCAATATCCACAAGTACAAAGAATTATTACTAAATTTTACAGACACGTATCAAACCCACGACTCTTTCTATCCAAATGATTAAATAAGCAACATTTCTCCCAAAAGAAATGGAATATTGTAAAACTCAATAATAAAAATAGAAGATGAATGATACTAAGATGTAATTTAGTATCATAATAACTTAGAAATTGGTTCCAAACAATTGAAGAGTATATATTTTTAACACAAATCCACTTAAAAGTTAAACGTTACAATGTTCTCAGGAGAACTCTC